CAGACAGTGACTCAGCTTTTCAAACAGCCAGGGGAAGTTCACTCCGCCACCTCAGTTTCAGGACACAGAAGCACAAGAGTCTTCATGCCTGTCTTCCTGAGAGACATGATGCATGAAGTACAAATGCTAGAGGTTTAAAGGGAATGTGGTACAAAAGCAATTTTGCATACTTGCATACAAGACTTTGCATGTTTTGGCTCCCCAGTATTCGGCTGAGGTTTTGACTCATTACACCCCAAAACGTGATCTCCTCTCCTCCAATTCTGGTCTTTTAACTGTCCCTCAGCCTCGTTTACGTACTATGGGTGATGGGGAATATTCTTCTTATGCTCCAAAACTGTGGAACTCACTAGCATCTGATCTTAGAGAAGTCCAGTCTTTTAGTGTATTTAAATCTTCTCTCAAAACTTATTTCTTTAGGATAGCTTTTACTTGATAATTTTTTTTTTTTTTTTTAAATTATTATTCAATTGTTATTATTACTATTATTATTATTATTTTGAATTGTATTTTATTATTAACGGTCTTTGAAGCATGCTTATATACTTTGTTTTATGCTATGTACGTCTGTGTCTATTTTCTTTTCCTATGTAAAGCTCCTTGAGAGGTCTTTTTAAAGGTCCTATATAAAAGAAAGTTTTTTATTATTATTATTATTATTATTATAATTTTGACCTCTTGCTACTGTGATATGGGAAACCTGAAAACTATACTTTTCTGCTTTCTCAGCTAAATCAGTGATCAGACCAAGTGTGGATAAAATTCACATTAAAAAAAAACAATTCACTGGAATAGAAAGGGATGGAGGACCGTTTCTTGCTGATGGTGGTTACTTTTGCTGTGTAGATGAACGCTGCATATGAATCTCAAACCTCACTCGTGTGTGCCAGTAGAAAACAAGAACGCGGGACTGAGCTTTTGTTTTGTGGAAAATGGAGGAGCAGCTAACTGACTTTTGTAGTTTAATCCTCACTGAATAAAAAGCCTTTACGGAAACGCTGTATCAGATGTAATATAGTTAACAGTTTCAAAAGGTTGAATTTACATGCTCTGAAGTTTGTACACAATGTACGTACTACAAAATTATTATAATTCGTATGGAATTTAATAATTATTATTAGCATTACGGTGAAAACATTTTCATCGTCTATTTTGTAATATGTTTTTGTATTAAGGTGTGTTTATGATCATGGCTATCAAAGCAGTAACACCGAGTGTGTAATTACAAATTCAAATGTTTAATTATGAAGACTTTGCGATAAAAATATATATATATTTCCCCCAAATAGTGAAATTCAGAAAGAATTTTCAATCCAGTTAAATAAGTTTATAAAGCTATTATTAAATAATATTATTCCGTGTGTGTATTCGAATCATTACACACTGATCGACATGGCGGCTGCAGAGCTGCTGCTCCTCTGTGGAAACAGAGTGTTACAGATATTTTGTAGCATAAACATTGTTCTTCTTTCCTCCGTGTAATAAGACATTTTGCTGCTTTAAGATGATTAAAAATGTAGCTAACATTTGTACCTGATGCTAGCTTAATTCAGAATCTGTAATCCAATAAAAATCTCGTTCACGTAAACTCCGCTGCCGTCTCATTGCCAGTAAACACGAAAGAGTTTGAGTTCCATCAAGATATGGGAACTTGGAGTGAACACATCTCTGCGACATGCTCAGGCAAATCTGTATATGTAAACACAGAGACGGTATTTGGTACACATGGCGACCATCTGCGCTGTGCTGGGAATCGCTTCCTCATAACTCTGACTTGTTTGTTTTTCAGAAGTGGAGTCTTCATGACTTTCGCAGACAGTGACCATTTCCGGTTATGTATTATTTATCACCCAAAACACTTTCTAATCCTGCCGCCTCGGCGTCTAGACTGCCGTCTGTAAGATTACGTTTCAGATATCTGGAAATTCATCCCTAATCACAGAGGTAACATTCACAACGAAAGACAGTCAGGCATGACTCATGACTCATGTGTGTCCCGAAAGCCAGCCATGGAGTCATCCTTCTGTGGAGCTGTGAACATTTACAGGGACTCCTTTGGCTATAAACTTGTACTTTATTTATTTATTTTTTTGGTATAGGAACAATTTCTTTTTTTCTTGTTAAAACTAGGAAATACATTATTCAAAAGACATTTTATCTGATTTAGATTATGGGGATCTTAACAATGAAACTCTTAGAGTCATTGTCTCATAGCACTTCATTTTATTACAAGTGACAGAAGTGACACATCGCTTTGAGCTTTACTAATCATCCCTAAGTCAATTTTGTACAAAGGCTTTATCGAGGAAAGTGCAAACATGTCCTTGTGTCTGAATTGCCTCTGAAATAGTGAATATCATTCTGCGCAGATGATTGGGTAATTCTACAGGGTCCGGCATGTTGAGCTAACTTAGACATTTTCTTTTTTTTCTTTTCCTTTTCATCTGTCTCAGAATGACACTGAACACATTGAAACTCCTGATGTTCTCTCATGTCAGCTGCACATAATTTATTTTAGTTCATTTTTAAATAATGTGTGTTTTCTTTCATATGTCTTGTGAAATGGAATCAGTTCAGTTTCTTCTTCTTCTTCTTCTGTTTTATTTCTCGGAAAATTTCTCTGACTTGAGTCTTATTAACAGTGAATGGATGAGTGAATCGACCTGTGAATCAAATGTTTACTTCGTCACCTTTAAACGCTTCATTACATCACGCATACATCGTGCTGAAGATGGCCCCACATGGATAGCCGCATGGAAGATCACCGTGAGATGACTGTGGATGGTACCACAGAGATACCTTAAAGATGTCTGTGGATGTTCTTTCTTGGATAACCTTCCATCATTGAACAGTTGATAACTTCAGTTTAATATGATAGACTGGGAGTTAAAACTCTAAAGATGCTCATACTTAAGTTCCTGTTAACACAGTTACCACTTTTTGACTTTATAGTATACAGTTATAGACTTTTTATAGTATACAGTTATAGACTATATAGCACACAGTCATAGAAGGGAATTATTTATAATCGCACTATCCGGTGTCACCCAGCTGAGGATGGGTTCCCTTTTTTGAGTCTGGTTCCTCTCACGGTTTCTTCCTCATGTCGTCTCGGGGAGTTTTTCCGTCTATGATTTAGACTTAGCATTTACTATTTTTGACCCCTTGCGACAGCAGTACAGGTGACACCTGTAAAACTGCACTTTTCAATCTCCCGGCAGGAAACGTAATTCACTAAAGATGGGTATTTGCTTCTGGTAGCAGTTCCTTTCGAATTTGTGCCACTTTATTTAGGTGAGCTTTGACTTGGGAATTCATGGGCTTTGGTGTTGTGAGACAGTATAAAACAAGTGGGCTCTTTGGTTGAAAAAAAAAACGAAGGAGCGCCTTATTTTTTATTGTCGCTTGGCAGCCATCTTAAATAAAAACCACCGATATGTGCTAGGTAAAATGCGGTAAAATTCTGGGTTTTTTTTCTTTGGTTTGTTATTTTTTCCCCATCTCTGCCTGCAGATTTTCTTTTAGCAATGTTGGCACCTCTGCTCTCAGTGACAGGTGATTGGATTGACTATAACAAATACAATATTGCCAAATCATTTTTAATGAAAAAGTTTTTATTTGAACAGCTAGTAATAACTCGAGTAATAATAAAAATGGTAACCTTTTCTGTATTTCTCTCTCTCTCTTTCTCTCTCTCGCTTTCTCTCAGGTCCGACAGAGAAGCCTTCCTCGCTGGGTCCCGTGGCTCTAGCGGCTGTGATCGCTGGGCCTGTGTGCCTGCTCTGCTTCGTGCTGGTCACTGTGTTCTACGTGTGCCACAGCCGCTCGGTCATCCACCACCGCGTGCCTAATGAGGAAGACCCATCCATGGACCATCCATTCATCACCGTGGGCACCACGCTCAAAGACCTCATCTACGACATGACCACGTCCGGATCGGGTTCTGGTGTGCACCCTTCACACACTTCTCTCTTCACACTCTCAGCATCTCTTTCCTCCTGAGGCTGAGCGTCTCAGAGACACGGCTTTTTGTTGTCTGATAATCTCTCCTGTAATTACCTGCTGACATGACTGACTACCCACCATTCTGTCACGCTTTTGTTTACAGGGCTAGTATTTCTGTCTGTGTCTCTGCCTGCCTTTGGGTTTCTTTGAACTCGTTGTTTTGTGCGCGTCTCTCTTTCTGTGTGAGAGTGCAAGTGTGCTGTTGTATTGTGTTTGACTGAATATTTTGGAACGTCCCCAAGAGGATCCTTTTCACCCACAAAATACAGCTTTTGTTTGTAAAACTGAAAGAACCAAAAGATTTCCTTAGGTTAGGATTAGATAAATAAATGTAGTAATCCATCATGCATAATACAGCAATGAAAGATTTTAGTGGAAAGTACAATAGTGTGTTGTGTGTGTGTGTGTGTGTGGGGCTTGCTGTGCTCAGCACCTTCACTTGTCGCTCTGTGTCTCAGGCAGTATTGGAGTGAGCAGTGAGAGTAAAAGAGGTAGCATCTCCCGAGCAAGCGTTCACACGGCAACACGTTAACCTCTCATCTCGATATCTTATCAGATGTGAGAACTAAGGCGGTGTATAATTAATAACACACTCTAATTCTGTAGTCAGCTCTGCTCAGTACAGCATGATCCCGATTTACACAGCAAAATCTCCTTTTATTCTGTTTGTTTGCCTTTGTGTTGTGTCTGGCTTTTACTGTGTGCGTGTGTGTTTTGTCTGCATTGATGTTTTCAGAGACAACACACACTGTTCCATGCAGGTCTTATAATGCTGAACAGCACGGCTCAGCAACAAAAGCGCACCCAGGACTATCTGAATCCCGGTCCTGTGTATGTCGCGTTCAGATCACATAAAGCTTTCCGTGAAATTGGGAGGCTTTTTTCTGGAGCTGACTTGATAGGCACAAGTAGTAAAATAGTACTCGAAATTCAAATAAACTATTTTTAAATGAAACCAGGCATATCTCAACATCATTGGATGTTAAAGTATGGGGTACCTGGAGGACTAGTGGTTAGGCAACAGCGCTCTCGCCGCTGCGGCCCACGTTCGATTCCCGGCCAGGGAACCGACCCCAGCCACTGGGGTTGCGTGCAACAGTGTGCTCTCAGTGCCGGTCCCAAGCCCGGATAAAACAGGGGAGGGTTGCGTCAGGAAGGGCGTCCGGCGTAAAAAACTGTGCTAAATCAAATACGCGGACCAATGATCCGCTGTGGCGACCCCTAAAGGGAGCAGCCGAAAGAGGAACAACAACATTAGATGTTAAAGTATGCACAAATATGAAGATTTTTGTGCCAGTAGGCAACCAGTTCAAGCATGAGACGTTAATCAGGACTGTGTCTGATCAATCGATGGTCAATAATCAATCTATTTTTTGCCGAAAGGTAACAAAATTCAGCACAGGAATCAAGAATTTAGTGGCACTTTGGTCTGTAAATGTATACCACAGCGCTGTTGAATTCTCAGACTGGTTAGAAGGTGGTGATTAGTTTTCTATAACAGCAGCTCTAGCTGTAGTGTGTAACCTGTGTAATTCAAATGATAGGATTATATTAGTGCACTACAGCGTGTCCCAGAGGTCTCCATACTTAGGGGACTGTGTTTGCCAGCACCGTGTCGGTTGTGCCTTCATCAGTGGATGTTCGTAGACGCCCACTTCTCGGTTAGTCCGCAACACTTCCAGTCTTTTTGAATTTGTTCATAAGTTTGGCAGCAGTGTTGTGTGTGATGTGCTTGCCATGTTTCCTCTTAAAGTCCATCACAACCTTGCGACAGCTTCCCGATCCAGCCATGAGAATACTTCAATATGTTCTTCTTTTGTCAAAGGCATTCTTAAAGGAGATCTGTAAAAAAAAAAAAATAATAATAATAATAATAATGATAATATAAACTAAGTATGAAAAATTTCAGAAGACATCTTGCTGAAAAGTGTTAATTTCCCCTCTGTATGGAGACTTTCGGAACACGCTGTAGTTTTAATACCTTATTGTTTCTGTAGTAATGGTTTATTCTTAGGGACTTGCATGCTGGAAGCTCCACATAAGCTAAAGCTAATAATAAACATGTTATTATTTAAACAAAGGAAAACATATGCTCTTTGATATGGTGAAGTTTCTATGAGGAGACATTTTAGAACAGTCTTCATTGCCAGCGCTTTGTAACAGACAGAACGTTTTTTGGCCCCAGGAAAGCCTCCAGGACAGAGGATGCGTTCTGGTTTCTTGGAAACATGACAAGCTGCATTTTTTTTTTTTTTTGTTAAAGAGAGACTGGTGACAGAATGACTGTTTTTAGCTGCCATAACATTACATTAACTAACTTGCCTCAGGGACGTTTCATAACATTAAACATAACTATTAATGGTCAAAAAGCATGACATATTGCCGTCGATCGTTTCCCTATTACAGCACACCCCATCTGGTTCAGTCAAGTCAAATGGGTTTTTATTGTCATTCCTCTATATAGCTTGTATACATTGGAATGAACTGTCGTTCTCCAGGTCCATGGCGCAACACAGAACAGTAGGCAGGACAACATAAGCTGCAATACACAATTGTGAGTGAGAGACGAGTGCAGGACAATAAATACACAGAACAGAACAATAAATACACAGGACAATAAATACACAGAACATGGGCTGTAAACTGTAAACTTTTTTGTAGTGTAGCAGCAATAAGTAGAGCAGCAGTGTTGGCAGCAAAAAAACAAGTTCCATAATAAAAGTGTCTGATGCAGCTTTGTAAGGTGCGGGTGTGCAATGTTTTTGAGTCATACTGGGTTTGGTGTTTGACTAACCCAGGTGAGCATTGGGAGGCAGCAGGGTGTTGAGTAATCTGACTGCCTCGGAGTTGCGGAGCTGTTGCGGAGTCCGCTGGTGGTGGCACCCGCAGAATCCTGTACCTTCTGCCGGAGGCAGGAGAGTGAAGAGTCTATGAGGGGGTGAGGGGGTTGTCCGCAATACTGGTGGCTTTGCGGTTGTTGTATGAGGTGTCGCTGGTGAGTAGAGAGACTCCGATGATCTTTTCAGCTGTTCTCACAATTCGCTTTAGGGTCTTGCGGACGGAGACTGTGCAGTTCCCCTAGCACGTGGTGAGACAGCTGGTCAGGACGCTCTCTATCGTCCTACTGTAGAAGGTAGTGAGGATGGGAGGGGGGAGTTTGGCTGTCTTCAGCATCCGTAGGAAGTGGAGGTGCTGCTGGGCCTTCTTGGCTAGGCAGGTTGCGTTGAGAGTCCAGGAGAGGTCCTCCGTCATGTGCACACCAAGAAAATTGGAGCTTTTGACTCTCTCCACGGTAGTTCCATTGATGTGCAGTGGTGACTGGTCTACTCGGGTCCTGCTGAAGTCAACAATCATCTCTTTAGTCTTATCAACATTAAGAGATAGATTGTTGTCTCTACACCATTCTGCGAGCTGGTTCACTTCCTCTCTGTACACTGACTCATCATTGTTGCTGATGAGGCCCGCAGCTGTAGTATCCTCAGTAAACTTGATGTGATTTGAACTGTACTTTGCAGCGCAGTCATGAGACAGCAAGTCAAACAGCAGTGGACTGAGCACATAGCCCTGGGGAGCACCAGTGTTCAGTGTGGTGGTGCAGGAGTTGCCGATCCTGACAGACTGGGTTCTCCTAGTCAAAAAGTCCAGAATCCAGTTGCAGACGGATGTGGTCAGACCCAGCAGGCTCAGCTTTGTTATCAGTTTCTGTGGGTTGATTGTGTTGAATGCTGAACTGAAGTCTAGGAACAGCATCCTTACTTAGTTGTATGTACTTTTTTGTCCAGCCTGGCATATGGGCTTAAATAAGGTACTTTGTTTTTCTCCACAGAACTAGCTGTTCTGCCAGTAGGGCCATCAATTCTTTGAGAAATGTCTCATGAGTACGTTTGTGTTCGTCATTATGCAGGGCTGCAGCCTCTGGAGACCGTACTCACTCTGTGCTTCTCTCAACTCCGAGGCCATCTTTCTGTTTTGGAGAAACTGACTCACCTCATATATCTATGTATCCCACCATTCATCTACTCTTTTCATTCTGTCCTTCCTCATGTTCATGCTTCAAGTACCTGTAAGAAGGTCACAGGCTGAAAAGGAGATGCTCCTGTTTCCATCTGCTAAGAAAAATGGAAAAACAGAACAGTTTTTGGGATTTAAACTGATAGAATACAGATTTGTGTCCTTGCTCCAGTGTACAGTTTCACTGGGTGAAATATGATCGAATTTTGCCAGAACCATCATTTCTAAATTTGATACAACATGCAAACCAAAGGAGGAGTCTTAAATTACAAGGAAACCTAGTGCTCAGAGAATCGGCAGATTCTTGGCAAATATGTTCTCAACTTTACTATTAAGGTATGTCTACAATTTCTGCCAGCAAAGTAACGCTTTGCAGCCCGGTATCCATCGCAACACAGCCGCTCTTGTATTCTACATTCCAAACCCCCGAAAGACACGACTGCACACATTCTGAATAGTTGCACCTATTACAAAGGACAGTACAGCTCTAGACATCCATGTGTAGATGACTTGGTTTCAGACGGAATTAAGCAAATACAGGAAAAGGTAACCAGAGTGTACGAGCACAATACAAAAACATTGGGCTGGGTTGAACAACACTGCAAAAAAAAACCCTTTTTTAATATTTCAAATACTCCAGATATGTTTTGAGAATGATCATAAAACAAATCAGTGCTCATCATCGAAATGGGCTGCTCATTTGATTTGAACAGCCAAATTGGACATGGTTTACTACCAGAGTGCTTAAATATCAGCCCCTGGTGGATACTATTAAAAGTTTAGGTTTTGGATGATGGCTGTTTCAGTGTTTGGGAGTTTGTGGCACATTCATAAGCTCGTGCAGTGTAGATTGCAGAAATGGAGACAAAATGTTGCTCAGTTTCTATTACAGCCTCTCTGTTTGGAGAAGATGTTTTGCATACCCTTGATAACTTAATGAATTGTTAGCTAGTACTTATTACAGTGTTTGGGAGATAGTGGTAAACACTAAATCCCTATAATGTGTACATGTGCAGCCCTGTGTAGGGTAGTGTACACACACAAACACGCACACACACACATACACACGTTTGTCTTAATATCCTTGTGAGAACCTTCCATTGACATAATTATTAATGCAACTAATTATACTATGCCTACACCTATAACTATGGCCTATGTTAAAAGGTGGTTTATTGTGACTTTGTCTTTCATGGAAGAGAGACCAGCAGCCATCAGTTATCATTATGAATGACTGAGATACAGTTTACTGTCATTTTTTTAATCATAGCTTGGCACATTATTAGTTCTTTTTTTTTTTATTTTTTTTTTTTATACAAACAGCACATTCAGGACACTTCAAAGTTTTGAGAATGTACACATAGTGCTTCATAAGAGTGTTATAAATGATAATTTAGTTTTATGCATATGGGGCTCCATAAATTAGAAGCTGAAGTGGCTCAATGATCATTTTAATAAAAAAAAAAACATGGACTCCGCTTTGAATACTATCCTCCAATAAGACGTAGATACCATAATAAAGTATCATAATGATAACTGGTGGTTGTTGTTCTCTCTTCCATGTAGAGATAAAGTTGCATAAAACTAATGATTTTATTGCGTAAGTCTTTGATAAATTCTCCAGCACTGGTTTATAAAATATTTAAGCATTGTTTATGAATGTTTTTGAAAGGTGCTGGCCGATTTTCATGCTTAATTTGGTTAATTCAAATTAATGTTTCAACGTGATTTTCAAAATGTTCTAATTGAGATTGTACATGTTTGTTTATATATATATATATATATATATATATATATAATATTTAAAATTTATTTTATATATATATTTTACATATATTTAAAATTTTAATTAAAACATCCATAAATGCTATTTAAAAGTTTAAACCAATATGAAGGAAAAACACTGCCTTTTTAAACTGATAAACGCCTCCTACAGCCTGCGCTGCTCCCAAACACTGTACGCTTAGATTAAAAAAAAAAAAAAAAGGCAAGATAAACAGGCAGCACTTCGCCGGGGAAGGAACTCGGATTTGAGCAGAATATCCCAAGTTGACTT